TTTTGTTCATTTTTCAACATCCTTTCTCTCTCTTACTTTTCCAAAAAGCTATTTTGAGAGCTCCTCTTACTAAAACCCTAACTTCTCTCTTAGGATTGATCTAGTAAGAGTTGTTTTCTCACCTTAGGCCTTTACAAAAGTTGTGTTGATCGTCGAGGGCTATCTTCTAATCTGAAAATTTCGGGATTTGGAGCATTTCCGTTTCTTCATCTCCTTCGTTGAGCCCCATCATTCGAGGTAGGGATAACCTACTCCATCTTATGAGCTTTGTCTTCAAATTTTAGTATTTTGATATGTTGGGGGTTGTTGGGTAGTTTTGAGAAAGTTTGGGCCTTTGTGTAATTTTACAAAAGTTGGGGTTTTAAATATATAAACCTATATGCATGTTAGGCATAGAGAAATGAGATTAATATTGGGACGTTGATGGAAATGGAACCTTAGGGTTGTTTTGTGAATTATGGTAATTTGCCCTAATTGGTTCAATTAATTAATGCATATAATTAATTGAAGAAAATAAGGAATTGAATTGAAAATGCTGAAATTGGGAATGTATGGGACTAAAGAGTGTAGTTGAATCTTTTATTACTCATCTAATTGAAATGTTGATATATTATCCATTTGTGCATTTATTTCCTGCTTAGAAATAATTGCTTTGGGCAACCGGTGGAGGGTAGTGTTGATTGTTGTAGACAATGCATGATGATTAGGCAAACTAAAACTAATCAATTGGATGTGTCATAGAGTATGACGGTTGATAGAATACATTAACTTTATGTATTGAGTGATTGTGTATATGACCAATGTGTTTATATGCATCATGTGTAGACGGTTGGTAGAATACATTAACTTTATGTATTGAGGGATTGTGTATATGACCAATGTGTTTATATGCATCATGTGTAGACGGTTGGTAGAATACATTAACTTTATGTATTGAGGGATTGTGTATATGACCAATGTGTTTATATGCATCATGTGTAGACGGTTGGTAGAATACATTAACTTTATGTATTGAGGGATTGTGTATATGACCAATGTGTTTATATGCATCATGTGTAGACGGTTGGTAGAATACATTAACTTTATGTATTGAGGGATTGTGTATATGACCAATGTGTTTATATGCATCATGTGTAGACGGTTGGTAGAATACATTAACTTTATGTATTGAGGGATTGTGTATATGACCAATGTGTTTATATGCATCATGTGTAGACGGTTGGTAGAATACATTAACTTTATGTATTGAGGGATTGTGTATATGACCAATGTGTTTATATGCATCATGTGTAGACGGTTGGTAGAATACATTAACTTTATGTATTGAGGGATTGTGTATATGACCAATGTGTTTATATGCATCATGTGTAGACGGTTGGTAGAATACATTAACTTTATGTATTGAGGGATTGTGTATATGACCAATGTGTTTATATGCATCATGTGTAGACGGTTGGTAGAATACATTAACTTTATGTATTGAGGGATTGTGTATATGACCAATGTGTTTATATGCATCATGTGTAGACGGTTGGTAGAATACATTAACTTTATGTATTGAGGGATTGTGTATATGACCAATGTGTTTATATGCATCATGTGTAGACGGTTGGTAGAATACATTAACTTTATGTATTGAGGGATTGTGTATATGACCAATGTGTTTATATGCATCATGTGTAGACGGTTGGTAGAATACATTAACTTTATGTATTGAGGGATTGTGTATATGACCAATGTGTTTATATGCATCATGTGTAGACGGTTGGTAGAATACATTAACTTTATGTATTGAGGGATTGTGTATATGACCAATGTGTTTATATGCATCATGTGTAGACGGTTGGTAGAATACATTAACTTTATGTATTGAGGGATTGTGTATATGACCAATGTGTTTATATGCATCATGTGTAGACGGTTGGTAGAATACATTAACTTTATGTATTGAGGGATTGTGTATATGACCAATGTGTTTATATGCATCATGTGTAGACGGTTGGTAGAATACATTAACTTTATGTATTGAGGGATTGTGTATATGACCAATGTGTTTATATGCATCATGTGTAGACGGTTGGTAGAATACATTAACTTTATGTATTGAGGGATTGTGTATATGACCAATGTGTTTATATGCATCATGTGTAGACGGTTGGTAGAATACATTAACTTTATGTATTGAGGGATTGTGTATATGACCAATGTGTTTATATGCATCATGTGTAGACGGTTGGTAGAATACATTAACTTTATGTATTGAGGGATTGTGTATATGACCAATGTGTTTATATGCATCATGTGTAGACGGTTGGTAGAATACATTAACTTTATGTATTGAGGGATTGTGTATATGACCAATGTGTTTATATGCATCATGTGTAGACGGTTGGTAGAATACATTAACTTTATGTATTGAGGGATTGTGTATATGACCAATGTGTTTATATGCATCATGTGTAGACGGTTGGTAGAATACATTAACTTTATGTATTGAGGGATTGTGTATATGACCAATGTGTTTATATGCATCATGTGTAGACGGTTGGTAGAATACATTAACTTTATGTATTGAGGGATTGTGTATATGACCAATGTGTTTATATGCATCATGTGTAGACGGTTGGTAGAATACATTAACTTTATGTATTGAGGGATTGTGTATATGACCAATGTGTTTATATGCATCATGTGTAGACGGTTGGTAGAATACATTAACTTTATGTATTGAGGGATTGTGTATATGACCAATGTGTTTATATGCATCATGTGTAGACGGTTGGTAGAATACATTAACTTTATGTATTGAGGGATTGTGTATATGACCAATGTGTTTATATGCATCATGTGTAGACGGTTGGTAGAATACATTAACTTTATGTATTGAGGGATTGTGTATATGACCAATGTGTTTATATGCATCATGTGTAGACGGTTGGTAGAATACATTAACTTTATGTATTGAGGGATTGTGTATATGACCAATGTGTTTATATGCATCATGTGTAGACGGTTGGTAGAATACATTAACTTTATGTATTGAGGGATTGTGTATATGACCAATGTGTTTATATGCATCATGTGTAGACGGTTGGTAGAATACATTAACTTTATGTATTGAGGGATTGTGTATATGACCAATGTGTTTATATGCATCATGTGTAGACGGTTGGTAGAATACATTAACTTTATGTATTGAGGGATTGTGTATATGACCAATGTGTTTATATGCATCATGTGTAGACGGTTGGTAGAATACATTAACTTTATGTATTGAGGGATTGTGTATATGACCAATGTGTTTATATGCATCATGTGTAGACGGTTGGTAGAATACATTAACTTTATGTATTGAGGGATTGTGTATATGACCAATGTGTTTATATGCATCATGTGTAGACGGTTGGTAGAATACATTAACTTTATGTATTGAGGGATTGTGTATATGACCAATGTGTTTATATGCATCATGTGTAGACGGTTGGTAGAATACATTAACTTTATGTATTGAGGGATTGTTTTGCCCTAATTGGTTTAATTAATTAATGCATATAATTAATTGAAGAAAGCGAGGAATTGAATTGAGAATGTTGAAATTGGGAATGTATCAGATTAAAGAGTGTAGACGAATCTTTTATCGCTCATCTAGTTGTAATGTTGATATATTATCCAGTTGTGCATTTATTTCCTGCTTAGAAATAATTGATTTGGGCTACCGGTGGAGGGTAGTGATGATTGTTGTAGACAATGCATGTTGATTAGGCAAACTAAAACTAATCATTTGGTTATCTCATAGAGTATGATGGTTGATAGAATACATTAACTTTATGTATTGAGTGATTGTGTATATGACCAATGTGTTTATATGCATTATGTGTAGTCATATGCTTGTCTAGTGAAGTGTAGATAGCTCATATGCTTGTCTAGTGAAGTGTAGATAGCTCATATGCTTGTCTAGTGAAGTGTAGATAGCTCATATGCTTGTCTAGTGAAGTGTAGATAGCTCATATGCTTGTCTAGTGAAGTGTAGATAGCTCATATGCTTGTCTAGTGAAGTGTAGATAGCTCATATGCTTGTCTAGTGAAGTGTAGATAGCTCATATGCTTGTCTAGTGAAGTGTAGATAGCTCATATGCTTGTCTAGTGAAGTGTAGATAGCTCATATGCTTGTCTAGTGAAGTGTAGATAGCTCATATGCTTGTCTAGTGAAGTGTAGATAGCTCATATGCTTGTCTAGTGAAGTGTAGATAGCTCATATGCTTGTCTAGTGAAGTGTGGATACAGCTAATATGCTTATCTGTTGATGGGTAATATGCTTATCTGTTGTGGTATTGATATAGCTCATATGCTTATCTATTGAAAAGTCTGTTTGATTTGATATAGCACTAAAATGTATATCATCATCGTTTGTGAAGTATGGAAGTAGTTTATGTGTTATTGATACAACACCAAAATGTGTATCCACCGTGAATTTTGAAAATGTTCTAGTGATGAACTATAATCTCATCAAAAGGTTTTGGCCAGAGTACTGAGCCCTGTTTTCAAACCCAAAGTTGAACAAGAAATGAAAAGTGAATTGTAACGTAGACTTGGTTGTCATGGAATTGAAATAAGATGTAAATGGAAGTGTAAGTATCGACCATCTATCAGTTGCTAATCTTCTAGGCATTGTTTATAGTTGGTTTAGTATATCTCTGCTGGGCTGTGGCTCACCCTATATGGGAACATCATTTCAGGTACAGGTAGCATGCCACCTCCAAGGACATAGCTTGGGAGGCTAGAGGCGGACAGACTTTTGTTCTCTTATCTCCTTTTGATGTATTACATGTAAATTCAAGCCAAGGGCTTAATGTGTAACCGAGTCAATACTCTCTTTTATAACCAAGTGTTAACTTGGAAAGCTGTAAGCCCGTAGGGCATTTACCTTTGTTGTTAACGTGTAATGTTTTTGTAATGAAGTACTCTGATGAATTGAGGAAATGTGGATCTTTTGTATATAAATGTTTGTTTATATTGAGGGCGTTATAGATCCAAACGGGCAACATACAATTACGTTGTGGAAAGGGTGCGCGATAAACTTCAAGGTTGGAAAGCTTAAACTTTTGTCCCAAGCGGGACGGGAAATTCTTCTTAAATCGGTCGCCCAGGCAATTCCCTCCAATGCAATGTCTTGCTTTTTACTCCCCAAGAATTTGTGCTCTGAATTGAATGCACTTTTGAGCAATTATTGGTGGAAAGGTGACTTTGACAACAAAGGTATTCATTGGGCAACGTGGGACAAACTAACAATGCCTAAACTCCAAGGCGGAATGGGTTTCCGCGATTTTCGCTCTTTTAATAGAGCTCTGTTAGCTCGTCAAGGGTGGTGGCTTAGTCGGTTTCCTAACTCCTTCTGTGCTCAAATCTTCAAGGGTCGGTATTACCCTCAGTCAAATTTTTGGACTGCCAGAAAAGGTCTGCGGGCATCATGGGCATGGACTAGTCTTCTGGAGGGTCAAGAGGTATTAAAGAGAGGGGTCAGATGGCAAGTGTTTAATGGGAAATCCATTAATTTCTGGAATGATAAATGGGTAACTTTCTCTCCAAACTTCTGTGTCAAATCTCAGAAACCTTTGGGATGTCAGCTAACGAAAGTGAGTGAGGCAATTAACCACAATACCAACTGCTGGAATGTAAATGTGCTGCAGAGTGTGATCTCAAAGGATGAGGTTGATAAGATTTGTTTGATTCCAATTGCGACTGAGCCTCAAGATGATCGTCTCATTTGGCATCATGATCCGAAAGGACTCTACTCAGTTAAGTCCGGATACCGGGTGGCAGTCACGGAATCAGTGCACCAATCCGAAACTTGACCATCATCCTTATTTCAGATGCCCGAGCAAGTCTGGAAATTCTTGTGGGCCCTTCCAATACCTCCAAAGCTCCGGAACTTCTGGTGGCGGCTGCATAACAATCTATTGGCTTCCAAAGCTAACCTTTTCCGACGTCATTGTGCTCGGGATGAGTTATGTCCTATCTGCAATCGGGAAATTGAAACAATAGAGCATTTGATTTGCGGTTGCGAATGGACGCGGGCGGTGTGGATTGGGAGTATCTTGAGCATTGCGACAAATCTGAGTCCGATTGTTTCGATTCAAAGATGGACCTGTGAAGTGTATCAAAATATCTCAATTCAGTCTGAGATAGTGGATTATTTTTGTCAGGTAATTTGGTTGGCTTGGCATATATGGAAGTGTCAGAATGACATGGTTTTCAACCAGCAGCCCATCGACCCTGTTTGGGAGTATCTTGAGCATTGCGACAAATCTGAGTCCTATTGTTTCGATTCAAAGATGGACCTGTGATGTGTATCAAAATATCTCAATTCAGTCTGAGATAGTGGATTATTTTTGTCAGGTAATTTGGTTGGCTTGGCATATATGGAAGTGTCAGAATGACATGGTTTTCAACCAGCAGCCCATCGACCCTCTCTCTGTCATATTTCGAGCAGCCAAGGACTCATGTGAATATGCTTCGGCACTGCAGGCCTCTTATTCTACTCCCTCTCGGCTGAATTCCCATCGAACTCCGGATCGAGTGTGGATTCCTCCTCAGCAAGGCAGCTTCAAAGCAAACTGTGATGTTGCAGTCAGGCTTGGAACCTCCAGAGCTTCAGTGGCGGTGATTTTCCGTAACAACAGTGGCTCGGTAGTGGAAAGAGCAGCTCGCTTTGAGGATGTAGGCTCAATTTTGTAGGGTGAAGCGTTGGCAATTCGATGGGCATGCCTTATGGCTAGGTCGTTGAATCTCTCTCAGGTGGAAATTGCTGGGGATAACAAATCTGTGATTTGCTTGTGTGTGTCTGAAGATGATCCTCCATGGGAGTGTGCTCCTATCATCAGGGATATTAGAATCATAGCTAAACAGTGTAATCTTTCCTTTGTATGGACTCCTCGAGAGGCTAATAGTGTTGCCCATTGGACAGCGAGGGCCTTTTTAAATGGAGTTCTCCCCTCCAATTAGGTGATCAATCCCCCAGTTGGCTTATGTAAGGCTTTAGCCTTGTGCTAGTAATGCTATTTTCGCCTTTCCTCTCAAAAAAAATAAAAAAAATAAAATAATAATAATAATAATAATAATGGCAATGGCATGTCGATTAAATTTGAATATCAAGTTTAAAATAATGTATAATGTCTCATCAATGTATTTGTTTAGTACTCATTTTATGACACATTAAATACATCATTCAATATATAAATGTTGATAATAAAAATAAAATAATCATTCGATATAAAACAGTTGGTCAATTCTAGATAAAGTCTACTTTTCAGATATCTATCTAGACTTTTTTAAGTGGTGTGTTGTGAAGTAGAAATTGAATTGGTATAAGTGTGAGATTTAAATGTAAATGAATATGAGCCATGAATTGATATTTGGATAAATTATATTAATGGTTCCTATAGTTAGGAATTTGTGTTATTTTAGTTCCTGATTTTTTAATTGTAACACATTTTATTTTGAATTTTGAATATTGTTCCAAATAAGAACAATAAAAAATACCATTACTCAATTTCAAGGGAAAAGTCGCCAATTTGATAAAATATAAATAAATTTGATAAAAATAAATGTCAAAAAAATATTTTTGAATTTTTAAAAATTATTTCTACCCACCAATGATAAAATATGTAAAATTGATAAATCTTTTACACATTTATTTATTTTACCAAATTGATTTTTATTATGTGTTTGGATGATAATTATGTAATGGATGGTTGTTTTTATTTTCATTAAATTAGTTTCTATTTTTTTCAAAACTCAAATATAGCGACTACTTTGATATCATTATTAAACCAATCCATTAAATCAAAAAATTCAAAACTAAAAATATTTCATATATTAAACATATTGATTACACATTAAAAGCCTAACAACCACATATTACATGATCATCATTCAAACATATAATAAAAATTAATTTGATAAAATAAATAAATAAATAAATAAATAAATAAATGCTTAAAAGATTTATTAATTTTACATAATTTTATCTTTAATAGGTAGAAATAATTTTTAAAAATTTAAAAATATTTTTTTGACATTTATTTTTGTCAAATTAGGTTATACTTTCTCAAATTGATGACTATGACCTTGAAATTGAGCAATGATATCTTCAATTGTCCTTATTTGGAACAAGATTCAAAATTCAGAGTCATGTGTCACAATTGAAAAGTCGGGGAGTAAAGTGATACGAACCCTAAACTATAAGGGCTGTTAGTGTAATTCGGCCTTGATATTTTTAAATAAAATTTGAGATAAATTTTCTGAATTTTCATGTATTTTTGGCATCATCATATTAACTTCTCTTAAAATTTTAATTCACATAATACTTAATATTTTTTTGTTAGAAATTTGTTAGTCACATGAGCATCAAAGTAATCAATGTGTTTGGTTTCAATTTTCTGAATTCAGTTTTTTAAAAATTAAGTTTTTTATTTTTCGTATTTTTTTGTTTTTAGTAAATATTTTACAAATTTTAAGCATTTTTTTACTTTTTTAGATGCACCTTACTTGGATGTATCTAAAAAGTAAAATATTTATGAAAAAATATTTCAAAAAATTAATAAAAAAACAAAAATACGAAAAATATACTGAATTTTCATTTTTTTAAAAGATTTTTTTCATGAAAATTATACTTTTTTAAGTGTATTTAGGTTAGGTCTGTCTAAAACTTAAAAAAATTGCTTAAAATATTAAAAAATTCAATAAAAACAAAAAAAAAAAATACAAAAAATAAGAAAGTAAAATTTTCTGAAAAGTATTTTTAGAAAACTTAAACCAAACAAACAAAGTGAATATTGTTATTACTTTTATACTAAAATATTTATTTTACTTTGTTCATTTGTCTTCATATTATTTGCATTACTTCGAGTCCATTTGACCTCACTACAGGGAGATCAGTGTAATTATAACAAAACTATCATACTGACTATATTTTTTTGCCAAATTTCAAAGGAGTTGAGTGTAATGTATTCTAAATTATATATATGTTGCGTACATATAGTTTTAATTTGTCTCTATTATTTGAGGGGTGAAGCATTAATAAATTTCAAAATATGATCTTGTGAACGGTTTAGTCCTCTCTCTTTTTTTCTTATGAATAAGGTTACATTAAAATAGAAATTGCACAAAAGGGTAATCACTTACACATTTCGGTTTAATTTTTGACGGATAAAAGTGGATTTCTCCAAATGTGAAGTTACATATTCGGACAATCCGCACTATAGATGTTTTAGATTTTTTCTTCTTCTGGAACAAATCCTACTTTACGATAAAAAACGCAACATTTCAATGTAAGATTCCAATGTAATACATTAAAAAACTTCTTAATATACTTTTTTTTAAACATAACAGCAGAACACTCAAAAAAAAAAGAAAAAATCCTAAGTATGTTTTTGCCAAACATAATACTCCAATATAATATACAAAAAAAACTTCTTAGTCTACTTTTCCAAACATAACACTTTAATCAATGTAATTCCAAACGTAATACTCCAACGTAACACACACAAAAACACTAAAAAATTTCTTAGTGTATTTTTCCAAACATAACGCTCACAGTTTGAAATTATACACTTGCCTAAAACTCACTGAGAAATTTTTGTACTCCTTATGTAATGGTTTGAAGAATCCCACATCCTTTTGAAATTGTTGAAAAAAATCCCGCATCCTTTTTTTTGAGTATTATATTGGATTGTTACGTTTGAGAAAAGTACATTAAAAAGTTTTTTTGCGTGTTATATTGGAGTGTTACACTAAAATTTTTTTTGGAGTGTTATATCGGAGTGTTTTTAGAAAAAAATAAACTAAAGAAGTTTTTTTGAGTGTTATATTGGAGTGTTATGGTTGAGAAAAGTATACTAAGGAGTTTTTTTAGAGTGTTGTATTAGAGTTCATCTTTGGAAAAAATTTACTAAATTTTTTTTTAAAAATATTATATTAAAGTGCTACGCTTAGAAAAAGTACATAGTTATTCTAGCTGAAATATTTGGAATAACTCTACCAGTTCTACTAGGAGTAGCCTTTTTAGTGCTAGCTAAAGGTAAAGTAATGGTTTTTGAGAGGAATTTGGAAGTACGCTCGGAATGCAGATCGCGTTACACTGTTGGTTGTTGATCTTTTGTGGCACGAGGTTTCTGTATCCTACTCAGTTTCCTAAGGGTTAGTTGGCTTTTCCTTAAAGAGTTTTTTTAAAATGTTATATTAGAGTATTATATTAAAGTGTTATAGTTTGAAATTATACATTTGTCCAAAACTTATTAAGGAATTTTTGTACTCCTTTTGAAATGTTTGAAAATTTTCACATCTTTTTGGAATATTTGAAGAATTCCATATTTTTAGTCATTTTTGTACTCTTTTTGATTTCCAAATAAAAAGATTATCATATAAAAAATTATTATATATTTGATTCCCATAGATTGTGTATCTTATCTTTTTAGCATAAAAGAAGAAAGAAAAAAAAAAGAAAAAGAAAAACATAATAGAAATAAGAATATAACTGTAAATCTAATTGCAAATAATATATTAAATCTATCTTTCCAAAATCAATGAGATTAATTGGTCTATAAAAAGTATACTAAGGAGTTTTTTTAGAGTGTTGTATTAGAGTTCATCTTTGGAAAAAATTTACTAAATTTTTTTTTTAAAATATTATATTAAAGTGCTACGCTTAGAAAAAGTACATAGTTGTTCTAGCTGAAATATTTGGCATAACTCTACCAGTTCTACTAGGAGTAGCCTTTTTAGTGCTAGCTAAAGGTAAAGTAATGGTTTTTGAGAGGAATTGGGAAGTACGCTCGGAATGCAGATCGCATTA